CAAAAAATAAAAAAAAAAAAAAAAAAAAAAGGTAGAAAGAAAAAAATAAAATTGTAAAATTCAAGAGTTTATAGTTAAAATTATTGATAAGTGAACTTTATAAGATACTTGGATATAAAAATCAATATATGAAAATCAAGTATATTTCTATATGCTTGTAACAAATAGAAAATAAAAATTTTAAAATATGCCATTTATAATAGCATCAAAATATATAAAACCTAGAAATAAATGTAACAAAAGGTGAAGTCTCTATATAGAAAACAAGAAAACAGTACTTTCAGAGAAATTAAAGATGACTTAAATAAGTGGAGATTTACTCATGGAATGGAAATCTCAATATTGTAAAGATTTGAATTCTCCCTGTGATACACAGGCTCTCCCAATAATTCCCACCTCCTGGTATTCACACCCCTGTGTAGTCTTCTCCCACACCATACCAGAGTTGGTATCATTGACTACTAGAATATGGCAGAAAAGATGGCGTGTCACTTCTGAGTAGTAAAAGACTCTACCTTCTGTCTTGTGTGCTCTCTCCTCCCTTGCAGTCTTTCTCTTAGACTTCTCATTACAGGGGAGGTGAAAGCAGCTCTAGGGAGAGGCCCACATGGTGAGGAACTGAAGCCTCCAGCCAACAGCCATCAAGGAGCTAAGGCCTTCCCAGCAACCGCATAAGTGAATCTGGAATTATCTGGATTATCTAGCCCCAGGCATGCTCCAGATGACTAGAGTCCTGGCTGACAGCCTGACTCCAATCTCATGAGAGACCTTGAGCAAAAACCAACCAGCCAAGGTACTGCTCTTGGGTTCCTGATCCTCAGAAACTATGCAGATAGTAAAGGTTTGTTGTTTAAAGTTGCTAAGTTTTGGGTAATTTGTTACAGATCAACAGATAACTTTAAAAAGTAAATTTAAAAAGTAATCTATAGATTCAGTGTGATCCCAATCAAAATCCCAACAGGTTCTTTTCCTTCCTTCCTCTCTTCCTTCCTTTCTTCTTTCCTTCCCTTTTGAGGAACTTGACAAGCCAATTTCAAAATTTATATGGAAATGCAAAGGGTCAAGAATATCCAAGATACTCTTGCAAAACAAGGAGAATATAAGATGTTACCAAGTCTTAACACAAAACTAGAGTGACTGCTTGCTTTACGAGACATTAAACCTCACTACAAGTCTATAGAAATTTGGATGCTGTGGTGTTGGTACAAGTTCAGAAATTAGATCATTATTATAACATACAAGGGTACTTCAAAAAGTTCATGGGAAGAATTGTATTATCCTTTTTTCTATTTTTCAATGAAGTTTTTGAAGTTCCCTCATAGAAAAGCTAGAACAGATCCATGCATATACGAACTTGATTTATTCCATAAACGAACCTGCAGAGCGGTGGGAAAAAGATGGTCTTTTTAGTAGAAACAGTCTGAGATATTTGATTTATATTTACTTGGAAAAAAAGGAAACGATTCCAACTCAGCATACATAAAAGTCACTTCCAGATTTTGGGCAAGATGATAGTAGCAGCAGCAGTATAGTTTGCAATCTCCCCAAATCCCGCCCCCGCCAAAACACAGACCAACTACACTAACAATAACAACAGCAAGAACCCATGGCCAACATCTATAACAAAACTAAGTGAAAAGGTAACCCCTCAAAACATGAGTGGGTAACTCCAAACTACATCTCAGCCATAAGATGGGTGTTGTATCAGCCGCTATATGGGAGAAGTGGAAAGAAGCAAAAGGAACATCAGCCTAGGAGCCAGAGAACCCTGAAATCACTCCTGAATTGAGGGGCCCAACTTAACTGAAAAACTTGATAGGACAATCTGACAACAGCAGCCTAAGCTGGAAGGGTAACTTCAGGCTCCCGCTTAGTGTTAATTGCAAACCATTGGAATAAGATCGGACGATGTGGCCCAGTATAGACCATTTGAATGCCACAAATTAAGTGTCCGAAACTCCCTTCTAAGACAAACCCTGCACCGAGAGAGTCTATAAAAGTAGAATCCATTCGACCACAGCAGAGACACTCATGGCAAAGTTAAGATAAAGCTCAGATAAAGGTGGGGATAAAAGCAGAGAAAACAAGTCTTAAAAGTACAGACTGTGGGGCCAGCCCAGTGGCGCACATACACACCGGTTCCCACATACACACCGGTTCCCGCTCACTGGCTGAGCGAGGGGCGGGCGCAGCACCGAGGGGTGCGATCCCGTTGCCGGTCCCAGTACGGGTGCGACACTGAGGGTTGCGGGCCGTTGCCGGACATGAAAAAAGACAAAAAGGAAAAAAAAAAAGTACAGACTGTGTTAAAACAAAGAAACAAACAAAAAACATTCTGTTGTAACAACAGAAGAGACAGCCTTAGATACATGGGCCACCTTCTCCTCCTAAGACATGGAAAAACCTAACACGAACAGCAGAAAAGGAGTATGGGAGAGTTATCTACAAACTTACTATTTTAAAAAAGTGAATGAGCGGAATAACCACTATAAACAATGAAGACATGCCAAGAAGAGATACCTTTAAAAGAAAAGAGAAAAAGAAAAAGTAGAATGGTCTGGATAAAGAGAAACTATGTGGTAGTATATAAACCTGAATATGTCAGTATTTATATTAAATATGAACGGCGTAAATGCTCTGGTGAAAAGTAAAGATTGCTAGACGTAATTGAAAAACCAAATCTATCTCATCTGTGTACTGTTTATAGGAGATACCTTGTTTTCCTTTTCACCACACATATTCTATGCTACTATTATTATTAGCAACAAACAAGAAAAATATTTTTAGCTTGAACAAGGCAAACAAATGAGTAAGGGACAAGGTTCATAATAAAGAGGTCCATTTTACTGTCCAAACCACAGCTATGTGCCCCTGGTTCATGTGAGGACTTCGGCAGTAAAGGAACACGAAGGTGACTGTCCCTCGCCAGGGCTGGCCCACCCTCAGGGGATGCAGAACGTGGATCCAGAGGCCCCGTGGGCAGAAGCCTCTATTGCAGCTCCCAGGGGGCCCCTGGCAGCCAAGCCCGTACCTCGGAGTTGGCAGGCACCACAAACTGGGAGGGTAGGCTGATGTCAGGCACCCTGCATTCTGTGGAGAAGGTCACCGAGTAGGGCAGCGGGTTCTCTATCTTGACGGAGGCTGATGTACTCTGCCGGACTGGGCTCACCATCTCAATGGTTTTGATGATGCCTGAAGGGATGACCCTGAAACTCAACGTGTAGTACAAGAACTCATTGGTCACCTCATTTCGGAAGATCACCTGCATTCACAGGGAGAGTGGGAGGAAGCAGGACAAAGTAGGGGTTAGCCGAGCATCCTCTGCACATGCTCAGGAGCTTCTTCTCTTCATTAGCCTTGCTTGGGTACACAAAGCACAGATAGCAGGCTGACACGGCCCTCCCAGCCTATCTGGATGCCTGCCAGCCACCCTTTCTCTTTAGGTATTACAGTCTGGCTCCTCCCTGTGAGACATTACCAAATAGCCTGGGCTTGCTTTAGAAGCAGCTAGAGCAGCACCGTCCAGTGCCAACACGTCCCCAGTGGGATAGCTGGCTGGCCCTGGCGAACAAGCAAGACCTCGTTCAAGTTGTAGTGGGCTTTAATATCATTCCTGTTGCTGCTGGAATAGTGAAAAACCATGATAGCATCTCACGCTTAATGAATGACTGTGTGCCGGGCACTAGAAGCACTTATTTAATTCACACAATTTGTCGGCACCATTATTATGCCTTCTCACCTTTTCTTTTTTTAAAGATGAGCAAAGTAAGGCTTATCCAAGTTAAGTATCTTGCCCAATGCTATAGGTCAAATGTGTCCCCCAAAGGTTTATGTATCGGACTTAACCCCCACTGTAACAGTGTTGAGGGTGGGAAATCCTGTTATGGGACTTGAAAAGTGGAATCTTTAAGAGATGATTTAATTGTGAGGACTGTACATTCGTGAATGGATTAATCCACTGATGGTTTAATGGGTGGTAATGGGTGTGGTTCTGATGGCTCTAAAAAGAGAGCAAGTGAAGAGGATAGCTCTTTCCTGCTCAGAGCATTTGCCACGTGATACCCTGTGTCACTGTGGAGAGTCACCACCAACAAGAAGGTCCTCACCAGATCTGTTCCTTGGACTTTGGACTTTTCTGCCTCCGAAAGTATAAAGAAATAAAATGTATTTCTTCATAAATTACCCAGTTTCAGGTATTCTGTTATAAGCAACAGAAATGGACTAATACACCCAAGGTCACATGCAAAGAGGTATCAAAACCAGGAGTGATCCCAGGTTGGACTGACTCCAGAGCTCACACTTGAATCTACACTATAATGTTCCCATACCTCTGCAACCAACTTATTGATATGCTACTCACCTTTTAAAGTTCCTTTCCCTGGTGACTTATGATGTTAAGGATCTCATGTGCTTATTGGTCATTCGCATAGCTACTTTTGTGAAGTAGATTCTATTCTTTTGCCCTTTTTAATACACTGGGTTGTTTATCGTATTAGGTGGTAATAGTTCTTTATATAGCCTGGCTTTTTACTTTCAACCTCTTTGTGTCTTTAAAGTGCCTCTGACATTCCTGTCTTTGAACTGGAATGTTTAGTCTTTTACATTTAAAGGAATTATAGTTTGGGTCGAAGCCTGTCTTCTTGCTATTTTCCACTTGTCTGTTTTATTTTTTATTCTTCTGTTGCTACTTTCCTGCCTTCTTTTGGATTAATCTTTTGGAATATATTTTATTTCCCCCACTGGCTTCTTACCTATATTTTAAAATAATTTTTTAGTGGCTGCTCTAGAGCTAACCGTGTGAATCTTTAACTTATCAGTATGTATTGAGTCACATTTTGTCACTTCCCACTTTACTCTGAACCCTTCATGCTTCCTACCCCACACTTCTCACCTCACAAATGTAATAATAACCTTACTCAAGTATAATCCCATTTACCATTGCACCCTGTCTTTTGTGCTTTTGTTGTCATATATTTTACTTCTACATACATAAGCATGCCTACCTTAAAATGCCATTATATTTGTTATAAACTGTCAGTTGTCTTTTAAGAAAATTCCAAGAAGAAAACACACACATTTAAAAAAAATTTATCTGCTTATTTACCTTTTCTAGTGCCCTTCTTTCCTTCCTGTAGACCCAAGTTTCCATGTGGTATAACTTTCCTTCAGACTGAAGAATATCTATTAGCATATGTTGTACAATAATGCAAGTCTGTTGACAATGAATTCTCTCATGTTCTTTTATCTGAAAATATCCTTTTGAAGGATAAAGGTTTCAGTGGATAAAGAATTCTAGGTTGATAGTTTCCTTTTCTTTCAGCACTTTACAGATAGCTCCCATTATATCTAATGAGAAGCCCGTGGTCAATCTTAGCGTTGTCCCCCTGTGTGTAATGTGTCTTTTTCCCCCTGGCTTCTTTAAACTTTTCTCTTTCTTTTTGATTTTCAGCAGTTTAAAAATGATACTGTGATGTTCACAGGCATAGTTTTCTTTGTATTTCTCCTTCTTGAAGTTGGCCAAGTTTCTTGGATCTGTAAATAGTTTTTTCTTAAAAAAACACCAAATCAGGAAAATTTCACTATTTTTTCAAATAATTTTCTGCCTCATTCTCATTCTCTTCTCTTCTGGGACTCCTATTACACATGTATTGGAAATTATATGTTTTCTCACAGGTTCCTGAAACTATAGTCAGGTTTCTTCAATCTTTTTTCTTTCTGTTCTTCAGATTAGAAACTTTCTATTAATTTGCCTTTGGGTCCACTGAATCTTCTGATATCTTCACCCTGCTGTTAAGCACATCTAATGAATTCATCATTTCAGTTTATTGTGCTACTCAATTCTAGAATTTTCATTTGGTTCTTTTTTATAGTGTCTATTTCTCTGCTGAAAGTCCTTGTCTATGCTCTTATTAAGACAATATTTAAAAAAATTATTTGAAATATATTTTTTTACTTCTTTGAACATGTTTATAATAGTTGCTTTCAAGTCTTTGCTAAATCCAACTGGCTTCTTTCACTTAGCATAATGTTTTCAAGGTTCATTTATGCATACCATGTATCAATATTTCATTTCCATTTCTTTTTATTGCCAAATAATATTCTATTGTATTTATCCATTTAGAGTTGATGGAAATGTGGGTTGTTTCTGCTTTCTGGCTCTTATGAATAATGCTGCTATGAATATTTGTGTATAGGTTTTTGTGTGGACATATGTTTTCATTTCTCTAGGGTATATACCTAAGAGTGAAATTGCTGAATCATATGGTAACTCTATGTTTAACCATTTGAGGAACTGCCAGACTGTTTTCCAAAACATTTGCACCATTTTACACTCCCTCCAGCAGCGTATGAGGGTTCCAGTTTCTCCACATTCTTGTCAACACTTGTTACTATTTCTTTTCATTCTTGCCATTTCTTTGTCCTCATATCCTAAGGTCTAGTGATATTACACAGTTCCATCTTCTAACTTACTAGTAATCTCTTCCTAAAGGTCCTTTACAGTATTCAGCTTTCCTCTGTGGTTTTTTATTCCAAACATTCTATTTTTCATTTCTTTTTAAAATTTTATTTTAATTTATCAATATACAATGTAGTTGATTTTCCTGTCTCTTTACCAATCCCTTTCTCCCCTTTCTCTCCCCACTCCCTGCCATCAACATCATATCTGTTCACTTGTCTTAACAAGTTCAAGGAATTGTTGTGATTGCTCTGTCTTCTTCCATCCCACCCTGTTTGTTTGTATATTTATATATTTATTTATTTTTAGCTCCCACAAATAAGTGAGAACATGTGGTATTTCTCTTTCTGTGCCTGGCTTATTTCACTTAATATAATTTTCTCTAAGTTCATCCATGTTGCTGTGAATGATAGTATTTCATTTTTTTTTTATAGCAAAGTAGTATTCCATTGTGTAGATATGCCACATTTTCCTTCTCCACTCATCTAATGATGGACATTTGGGCTGGTTCCAACTCTTGGCTATTGTAAATAGCACTGCAGTAAACATGGGAGTACAGGTATCACTTTGACATGATGATTTCCACTCCTCTGGGTATATACCCAGCAGGGGAATAGCTGGGTCATATGGTAGATCTGTCTGTAATTGTTTGAGGAACCTCCATACCATTTTCGATAAAGGCTGCACCATTTTTCAGTCCCACCAACAGTGTAGGAGGTTTCCTTTTTCTCCACAACCTTGCCAACATTTATCATTCTCTGTCTTTTGGATATTAGCCATCCTAACTGGAGTAAGATGGTATCTCAGAGTGGTTTTGATTTGCATTTCCCGAGTGCTGAGGGATGTAAAGGTCTTTAATTGATTCTTTTGCACAATAACTTATACTTATTTCATGGGTATGATTATCTTCCTTTGAGGATATTAATAATATTTACTTCAAGTCTTCTGTTTGCTTTAATAACTCTTTTCTCTCAGGGGCTCTTATTTATTGAGCTGGTGTTTCTATTTTATGGTGGCTTTTTTTCCTTCCAGATGTTCAATGATTCCTTGATTTTAAGATTGTTTTAAAATCTTGTCTGTCTGTGAATGCTGATCTCATGAGATCTGATTAGTTATTGTTATTAGTTATTAGTTATTGTAGGGGAAGAGATCACATGCTGCTGGGTGGGTTTTGCCAGTTTCTCTTATGTATGTGTGTGTGTGTTTGAGTGCATTTTTGTTCCTAGATACCTTTTATTTCACATTAGAATCTTTCCCTTGGGGATTCTACCCACCCACATCATAGCTTCAAATACCATCTATAAATGAATAACTCCCACATATTATCTTTGGCCCTGAGCTACAGATCTACATATACAATTGTCATCAAAGTACTTATCTTATTTTATAATTACACATTCACAGTGCAATTATTTGAGTAATGCCCATCTTCCTCCACTAGGCTGTGTGTTACATGAGAACAGAGACTGTGCCTATTTTTAGTCATAGCTGATTTATCAGCACTTAATATAGTGCGTGGTATATATGTTCAGTAGGTACTTGTTGAGCAAACGAATGAATTAGGAGAAACAGCTCACATGTGAAAGACCCCATGATGTCTTGGAGTAGTGACTGTGGGAGGACATCTGTTATTCCCAAACAACAGGAACATCAACCTCAGGGTCAAACCTCCAGGGTTCCAGGGCAGTACCTTTGCAGTAAACAGTCCCTCCTTGTAGGAAAAGAAGTTCAGCTTGTAGTCTTTCTTGGAGCCACCCAGTACATCAATGTAATCAAGACCCTTTATAGTGACACTTAGGTCTGGCTTCTCTGGTTTCAGCATTTCCACAATGACCCGGAATCTGGGGCAGCACAGGAGTACGTGGAGAGGAGAGAGAGAAAATGAGATCATTTGCTCAAAGGACAGAAGGAAAGGCGCTGTTTCCTCTCTACTCTTGATTTTAGGGTAAGTGCATGGGCTCAGGGCTCTAGTCTTCACTCTGTCACTAATGATAACAGTAACTATCATTTATTGACCACCTATGTTGTGCCAGATGCTGGGTGAGTGCTCTTTGCGTGCTACTGGCATTTACTCTTTGTAATATTGGTAGGAGGTACATATCACTACCATCTCCATTTCACTAATGAAGAAATAGAGGACAAGAGAAGCAAGATAACAGGCTCAGGCAACATGACTAGTTACTGGCAGAACTGGGATTCAAATTTAGATCTGGGCCTTTATCCACTTTGCTAAGCAGGTAGCTTTCAGTAAGCTATGCCTCTCCTCCCAGCCTTTGGCTTCTTCTCTGATAAAAGAAGGAGGCCAGGCTGGTTGGCTTTGAGCTTCTCCAGTCCTTGCATTCTAAGTACAAGATCCAAAGGACTTCCTTCTCTGGCCAGTGGCTTAGGTGATAACAAAGCACTCAATAAGAACAGTGATGGGCCGGCCCGGTGGCGCACTGCTACAGTGCGCCGCTTGGGAAGCGCGGCGG